TTTAAACGTCTAGGGATATGGTTAATAGTCAAGGTTAATAAAATATTTGGCACAACTGTGCCAGTCTTGCTTAGCTGTTCATTGTAATGGATGTAGGGGGCTCAGAATAATGAACTCCAGTGGGAATGGGAAGGCAGAGATTTAAATTTCTTTTCCCCAGTGGGAATGTTTCGAAATATGTGGTAGATGAAGTCTGCCTGTCCTTTTCTTTAAGCCAACCTCTCCGCGTCGCCTGCTGTACGTGTTCACTGGGAGAACCTCCCAAAAGGAGATGGCAGCTGCATCCTCCGCTCACGCTAGCATGGTGGGCCAGGGCAGGGAGGGGAAGGGCCTCCAAAACTCTCCTTTTCCCTATCCGGCTTCCAGCTTTCTTGCTCTGTTTTCCCCCTCTTTCTCGGAGCTCGTCCAGTGCTTTCTACCACGCTGCCTCTGTTGCTGGATGTATTTTTTCTGAGGACATCTGAAAGTTGATGCTTTCTTTTCTTCAGCCTCGCTGAAGATTCCTTCCTTCTTTTGTGAACTCTATAAAAATTTTCTCAAGAGAATTATCAGTCTGAGTTATTAAAACTTAGTTTTAATTCAACAACAATGTCTTAACCTGGTCCCTGCACCAGGTACTGCTGATATTAAGGGATGTACTTCTTCCTACATTCTGTTCACCCCCTTTCTCCTCATCTGGTGGTTATTAAATTGGTTACTCAGTCAAGTGCAGAGTTTGTCCCACATCTGTATTGGACATGGGAACTAAATATACTTTTGTGCATCAAGAAAGAACAGTTTGTTTGCATGAAGAATTCTCATTTTCTGAGGAAAATTAGTATGAATTATTTTCCTGTATCCCATATATATTCTCAGACTGAGATGCAATTTTCAACCACTGGCCTTTACTCTTCACTTTGAAGATGTCACCGGAGATCAGCTTAAGATATTTACAACTTTTTGTACTATCTTGTCTTCTTACAGATGTACAGTAACTGTTTTAAGTAAGGCTTTGGTGAATTTGGAAAGAATGCATCATCTTGTAAGACTGGTATCCCCAAACGGATTTCTGAGCTCTGCTATTTTTTTTTTTAAATAACTTTAATTGTTATCTTCAGCCTAAAGAACGCTGTGGCTACAATAGCTAACAACTGTCTATTTTAAATAAAATTAAAACTTGGTTGGGTGCCGCATGCTGGAATCACAATTTCTTCACGTGCAGAGATTGGGCACCAAGTGAATTACCTGATTGCTGTTGTGTTTATTTTTCTACTATTTTAAAATAAATGCTGTTGCCGTATTTTTCAATATATACCTAAAAAAGTAGTTTTAGTACTGGAGAAAGTTGTTACTAACATGGTTATTAATCTCATAGCATTTCAGTTAGTTTGCAGTTAAAATAATGAAACGTCAAGCTTGCGGTGGATGCAGTTCTCCATCTAACCTGGCTGGGGTCTAGATCAGGCCCTGCATAATATATTCTTAATTTGTCTCAATATCTGTTAGGAGTTTCCTCTTCAGAGAGTAAAAAGAGCAGTCCATGCCATGGCATTTGCCCTCTAAATTTCCAGTTTACCTAAGAGGCAGAGAGGGAAAGGGAACGCACCTCGGCACCAGCTTCCTGCAGCTGGCAAATTGCAACGAAACTTAAATAATAACTTTTATATTTTCAATAGTTGACACAAGTGTTCAAAATGACTTTTTAAACTTCTCATTGCAGAGGTTGGCTCTACCTCTCTTCAATTTCTCCTTAACAATAAATGATTTATAGCCATCTATTCTCGATCATCTGTTATTGCTTTTGCAGTGGGTGAAAAGCAAACCAAAACCAAACCCCAACAAAAAAAGAGCAGAAAAATGAACTTGTTTTCCCAGAGCTGGTTTCTGCAAGGAATGAAACTCAAAACAGCGTTTTCTTTGAATATTTTGCATATCAATGCATTTAATTTCAGCTCTTTATGTTTGTATTTAAGTACTTCAGCAGCTATTTAGCAACTGTTTTCGCTCCTCTTTAACATCCACTTGTCTTTACTGTTAGGCACTGTTCAAATGTGTTCCTAGCAGGAAGAGTTGTTGTAACTGTTTATTAGGCGACATCGTTTGCCTCCCATCCTGGAAGATTTTGAAGTGTGTGTTCACTGAAATGTAGAGCGTTGCTGGGGAACCTTTTGCATTTTGCTACTTGGCTTCCTCTAATGATGTGATTCTACAATGATGTTTACTTACTTTTGGAGGTGACACGGAAATCTCTGAGAGTTGACCCTTGAGATGAGGCTTCACGTCACTTATAGAGTATGAATATTAGTTTAATCATCTCAAAGACATCCACAGACATACTGATGGGCGCAGTATGCACAAAAAGTATCTTTTTCTTCATGCTATGCACGTTATTCCAAGCACAAATACAGGCTCGGAGGGGAATGGCTGGAGAGCAGCCCTGAGGAGAAGGACCTGGGTGTGCTGATTGACCAGAAGCTCACCATGAGCCAACCCTGTGCGATCGCAGCCCAGAAGGCCAACTGCATCCTGGGCTGCATCAGAAGAATTGTGGCCAGCAGGTCAAGGGAGGTGATTCTGCCCCTCTACTCCACTCTTGTGAGACCCCACCTGGAGTACTACGTCCAGCTCTGGAGTCTCCAACATAAGAAGGACATGGACCTGCTGGAGCGTGTCCAGAGGAGATCCACGAGGATGATCCGAGGGCTGGAACACCTCTCCTATGAGGAGAGGCTGAGAGAGCTGGGGCTGTTCAGCCTGGAGAAGAGAAGACTCT